ATGGACTGGTGACCCTGGGATTTGATGTGGTCAGCGTGAAACTGATGACAACCACCCGCGGGTCGCCTTCAGACGAAAGGAAAGCAAGAAACCTTCCGCTCTTCCTTATCACCCTACCCCGGACGGCAAAATCATAAGAAATTTTCCATCTTCAAAGCCTTTGCCACATTTCCATTCGGGTTGAGGCATACAGAGCACAGAATGGCCTTACGCAGTGTCACAACTGCCAACAGTTTGGCCACGTCTGGGCCAATTGCAAACAACCTCCCCTTGCATGTGGTGCGGGGGTGACCACATGCACAAAGAGTGTCCTGAGAAGGAGAACGCTGCCTCCACTCCAGCTTGCTGCAATTGCGAATTGAAGGAAGGAGAGAAGCCCCATCCCGCCAACTATCGGGGCTGCAGACACGAGAGGGAGGAACTGCAGAGGAGGAAATCGCAGAGAGCACCCAAAACTACGACGGGAAGGGTGTTCTCCTACCCCTGGAGTCTCATTCGCGGCAGCACATCGCAGGAGCAGCGACCTCAGACTTTCCAAGATCCAGTGGCAGTCCAACCAGAAGCCACGAAACCGAGCGTCCCGGTCCTTGTACAGGAACAAAAAACGGGTCAGTCAACTCAGGCTACTCATGTAAACAGTCCATCTCTCGACAATATGTTGAGAGTAGTGACTGTAGTACAGCAGATTATGACAGAGGTCAGTGGTGCAGTGTCCGAGGAGGAAAAAATAATGGCCATTACCAAAATTGTTCTAAACCTAATGAAACAAAATGGCCACTAGAGTTCATAGGCCACTCAAAGTCATAGCATTTAATGTGAACGGCATTGGGAGGCAGCGCTATGTGCTCAGTACACAGCTGCAAGACCTACTCGTAGATGTGGCCCTCTTTTCAGAGACACATCTGAAAACTCATGAGAGGTTCTTTATTCCAAATTACCACTTTTATAGAATCGGCCGCCAGTCGGGGAGAAAGGGCGGAACTGCCGTTGCAGTAAGAAAAGGCATTGCCCACAATTATGTAGACCTACCACTCCTTGTTTCAGTAGAAGCGACAGGGGTCTGCATACCAACTGGTAATAGCGAAGTGCTGCTTGCAGCTGTATATAAATCGCCAGGCAAAGCCTGGAGTGATGCTGACATCACTGAGCTCTTAAGCTTCAGACGAAAGTATATTTTGGCAGGTGATTTGAATGCTAAGAACGCATATTGGAATAGCAGAGTTTCAAACCACTCAGGCTTGAAACTTATGGATTTATTTGATATGGGCGATTTCGAAATCTCAGCACCACAGTGCCCCACTCATTATTCTCCTGCGGGAAATGGTGACGTGTTAGATATTGTGGTTCACAAAAATATCAGAGTGTCAGATATCATCGTCTCTGATATTTTAGACTCAGATCACCTACCAATAGTATTCCACATACTGGATCACGTTAAATTTAGGAATCTTTCGGAACCCATTCAAAAATTTACAGATTGGGAGCGGTTTCAAAGCCTCGCTTCTGAATTAATATCACCTAAACTAGAAATTAATTCGGGGGTAGAAGCCGTTAAAGCGGCACGCGACTTTGCAGCCTCTATTGCTTCGGCATATAGGTTGCCGACAAGTAAAGTTACACTTTCGAACATAAACAACGATCTTCCTGGTCTAGATCATTTGATAAAATATAAAAAGAGGCTACGAAAATGTGGTAAGAAACCAGGGATCCAGCGTGTAAAACGGCAGTCTATTGGGTCACCAAAGCAACCAACGAATTACCCGAAATAAGGCGCTTGAACGTTGGGAAACAAAAATAGGCAACGCTGAAGTCACACCTGAGAGTATATGGCCCATTGCGAAATCTCTCCTTAAGAGAGACGGACCAAGAGCGCCAACAGCTCTTCATGGTTCTTCTGGCCTTAAATTTTATCCTTCTGAAAAAGCCAACGAAATTGCCGACTTTTTGAAAATTCAGTTCACGCCACATGACCTGTGCGACGAAAACCATGAACAGCAGGTGGAGGCTAGAGTTCAAGCTCTGCTGGAAACCGTAGGCGACAACCCCCCTCAAAGGATGAGACCATGTGACGTACAGAAATTAATAAAATCTCTGAAACTAAAAAAGGCCTGCGGAATTGACGGCATCCCAAATGAATGCATCAGGCACCTTCCAAGGCGACCACTGTTTCATCCAACCCATTTATTTAATCATGTTTTAGGCTGTCTCATTTTCCAAGTACTTGGAAGGAAGCAAAAGTAATAACTTTACCTAAACCGTGTAAAGACCCAAAATTTCCTTAAAATTTACGTCCGATCAGCCTCCTGTCCACGACAGGAAAGCTATTCGAAAAAGTAATTTTGAAATTCCTCTGTAAACACATTGAAGAAAGAGGCCTGCTCAACGCATGCCAGTTTGGTTTTCGTGCACGTCACAGCACGACATTGCAATGTATGAGGCTGGCGGACCACGTGACCCTTAATTTCAACAATAAAATGTCTACGGCTGCAGTGTTCTTGGACATCGAAAAAGCCTTCGATACCACGTGGCACTCAGGATTTCTGTGTAAGTTATGAAAATTGGAATTCTCGAAAAGTTTGACCAAGCTTATTGGGTCCTTTCTATCTAAACGTAAATTCAGGGTCTCTGTTGAAGGCGAAATGTCAACGACAAGGGAAATGCAAGCAGGGGTGCCACAAGGTTCGGTCCTTTCCCCTACTCTTTTCAACTTGTATATAAATGATGCCCCCCAAACACATGGTGTCCACCTGGCCCTCTTTGCGGACGACACCTGTCAATATGCGGCAGATCTCAAGGAGGGTTTTATTGATAGAAAACTCCAGCGCGGTCTCAGCTCAATGGAGACCTGGTGTGAGCGCTGGAATATAAAAGTTAATGAAGATAAGACTCGGGGTTCTACTTCTCTCATTTTCGTCGACAGCCTGAGTCTTGTCTTACTCTAAATGGAAGATATATTCCATCTGTAAATAGTGCAAAATATCTACGTGTAATCTTCGATAAGAGAGTGACATGAAGATTACGCATAAAAATGATCGAAGCCCAGGCCTTCAGAACATTCATTAGAGTACGAGTATGCTAACATTAAACTGCCCCTCCATAAAGCTCTTATTAGATCCGCAATGACTTATGCTAATCCCGCCTGTGAGTTTGCGGCAGACACCCATCTAGTGAAATTGCGGCGCCTGCAAAACAAGGTTCTCCGCACCATTTGCAATTTTCCTAGGTGCACACCGGTCCGCGATTTGCACATGGCATTCAAAATCCCGTACGTATATTATTACATAGGAAAATTATGCTGACAACAAGCATACGTCATACAAAATCATGATAATGAGAATGTTCGCAACATCGGACAAGGCGAAACCGCCACAGAAAGTATAAGAGGCTTAAACTTGGCGGCGGTCAGGCATACGACCGTTCAAATGACTAGAATGCCATGGTAGCTATTATTACTGGAAATAGGGCGTAATATGCTGTACAGTGCCTGGATTGACAGAGGCCTTGTATGTATTGTACATAAAAATAGTAATTTGGACTAGAATTAAATTGTAAATATGTGTCAAACTGACATGGAATGACTAAGACTGACAAATGACAGACCCTCTCGTCAGAGAGGGCGCCCCAAATGGACAGGACAGCAACTTTCACAAAGAAGAAAACATCTGGTCATGAGCCCCAGCTGGGGCTCGACACCAAGACAGACAGTCTGACTGACCGTCAGTTGCAACATGACTTTGACTTTGACTTCCCTCACCTTCAATAACACTGATTTTTCATCATTGCTTAATCCAGACATATATAATATGACCTTACAACTCAAACCGAAATATCTTTCCTATAAAACAGATGGAATCTTTGCAGAACACAATCACAATTTTATACAACTCCCTCCGTATCGCCCAGAACTCAACCCAATTGTGTTAATATGGGCCACCGTAAAAAATTGGGTTGCCCAAAACAATACCACATTTAAGAAGGATGACGTCATTAAACTAGCAGACCAAAAACTGGCTTCCATAACTGCAGAATGGCAACGTAGGTGCCAACATGTAAGGAATATTGAGCAACAATTAATCGCACGGGAAGGTTTTTTGGACGCAGGACGGGGGTTCGTTTTCCATGTTGACGGTGATAGTGATGACAGTTCTGATAATAGCTCCGATTCATCTGGTGGTGACTAGGAAGGACAGTCATGTGGAGATGATATCTATGCGGACATTGCCGGTGTTCCCTTTTAGAATAGACCTGTGTAATATGTAAATAAACTCTTCATGTATATAACAGTGAAAAGTGTATAATAGTGTATAATACGTAATAGTCTTCCATTTGGAACTTATTTTAATATTATTATTGACATGTTCTATATCCAGGGTTGTATTTCAACCTATGTTTTGGATTTACTGAATTTGAAATAAATGAATGAATGAATGAATTCGGCACATAAAACTTAACATCGGATGTGTGAACATCATCGAGACTAAACCGCCAACACTATGCAACAGAATGAGGTAAGAAATTATATGGCCTTTTGAGAACGTCTGTACTGCGTTCCCCTCCACACTTGTCAGCATCCTGGAGCTCTCCCCGCCACTACCAATATTTCTCCTACTCCGCGTCGGAGGACTGTCACTTATCGTTACTTATAAATACTACTACTATAACAGCCTGTGATACCTACTCAACTGCATGGTAAATGGCAGGTATTAACCTATGCTGCTTGTGTGTGAAGGCTGATCGATAAATCAAGAGCGATCCAGAGTTGGTCTACGTCGGTCTACATCGTCAACATGTCCCAAATATGCTAAAGACGAGCATACTACATGTTTGCCGCAAATCAGATTTCAATCCCCGCTTTGCCATGCCTTGCTCAAGCTATGGTCCTGTCCACGGATCACAAAGCATAGTGACTAGAACAAGGTAACACCAATGAGTATTATCCAGCTGGAGCGGGCTGGAGTGATACCACGGCCTGCTATACATCTTTGTTGGCTTTGCTGGTACCGAGTGTGTACACGTCATTCCTTACAACACCCAACCAATGAGAAGGAACGTATGTTCACGTGATGTTGTTTTGACAAAGAGGGAAGCAGCTAAAAATCTGTTAACGAAATGATTTTGAGGAAGCAGAAAAGGAAGTAAACTATATAAGGTGGTCTCATGGCGGTTTTTAGTATATTCAGTATAAGTGGCGTTGTTTTTTGTTTAGCTGCATGCATAACCGCTGCTAATGGTGGTGAAAGTGAAATAGATGAACTTCCATTCTGTAATCCTGACCAGCTGAACACACAGCACAAGTAAGTTCAGATCCATAATGTATGTGATGCCAGTTAGTCATTTCTGAAACAATGTTCAATACCCCTGTGTTCAGTATTCATATTGCGTGTAATGGAGAAGTTCATATAGCCACGGAAAAGTAGGACGGTAAACTGTGAAGCAGAATACTGTCTTCCGGATTGCAGCCTCTTGTAGCCTTGAAGACTTGCCGACGTTTCGGAGGAAGTACACTCTACCTTATGAGCACTTGAATGGGTCACTGGTGGAGAACGAAACTATGGTACAATACCCAACTGGAAATAACCACAGAAGAGGAAGTAGATTTTATAACGACAGAACAAAAGAAAAGAGCATTAAAAATTAACGAATAAAGAGTCCTGGCTTTGATGGATTACATTTGGAATTATTTTATTATGTAAGGATATTGCTGCAAGGGGGTGATTTATCTCCAGTGCTCATCAACTTTGCTTGGAATATGCTGTTATGAAGGTCCAGGAAAATCAGGTGGGGCCGAAATTAAATGGGTCACATCAGCGGCTGGTCTATGCTGAAGAGTTAAATGTATGGGTAGATAACATAGATACCATAAAGGAAAACACAGAAACTCAAATTGATGCAAGTAAAGAGGTTAGTGTAGAAGTAAATGCAGAGAAAACTATATATTGCTGTCTCATCACACAAGATTGCAGAATAAAATTGTAAAATAAAGATAGCTAATAGAGATCCTTTGAAACAGTTGCACAGTTCAAAATATTTGGCACTGACATTAAGAAAATCAAAATTTGATTCAGGTGGAAATTAGGAGGAGACTGAATTTGGGTAACGCTTTTTATCATTCAGTCCAGAACCTTTTGTCTAATCCTCTGCTGTCTAAAACCATAAAAATTAGAACATGCAAAACTATTGAGTTTGCTTGTGATTTTGTATGATTAAGAAATTTGGTCTGTGACATTAAGGGAAGAGCATAGACTGAGGGCATTTGAGAACTGGGTGTTGAGTTGAGGAGAATATTTGGGTGAAGAGGGTATGGAGTTACAGGTTGGAGAAAGCTGCATAATGTGGGGCTTTATAGTTTGTATTCTTCCCCAACTATAATTGAACTGATGTAGTCGAGGAGGATGAGATGGGCAAGGAGTGTAGTATGCTTGGGGGAGAAGAGAAATGCATGTAGGATATTGGTGGGAAAGCCAGAAGGAAAGAGACCACTAGGAAGACATAGACATTGGTGGGAGGATCATATTAAAATGGAAGTTAGACGGGATGGGTGGTATGAACTGCACTGATCTAGCACAGAATAGGTACCAGTGGGGGACCTCGTGAACATTGTAATGAACCTTCAAGTTCCATAAAATGTTGCAAAATTCTTGGGTAACTGTGCAACTGGCGGCTTCTGAAGAAGGGATCAGTTCCATGGAGTTAGTTATTGCTGGGACAGAGGTTCTTACTTTTGATTAATACGTATTTGAACAGGTTATAAATACCAAAACCACTGATGTAAGCTTTATTCTTACATCTTTTAAAAAGGGAGGTATAAAAAAAAAGTAAAGCTATCCCTGTAAGAGTCCGTGAAAGCCCATAAGGTTGTGAGACGTTGAGGGTCCCACATTATCTAGACAGTCGGCTCAAAGATGGCGGTAAGGTTGTCAGCCTTATGTGCCGGCCGTGGTTTACTCCCCAGGAAAATTATTTAATTAATTCCCGGTACTCATTTCCATTAGAGGCTGAGTCGACCCCAGTGCCATAGTGCGCCTGGAAGGATTAGGTCAATTGAAAAAATCCAAAGACCTCATTGGGACTTGAATCTGTGACTTTCCATTTTGTAACATAACCCCTCAACCAACTATGCTATGTACAGTAGTAGCTTGATATTTAACCATTTAAGATTTATATGCTCATAATAAACAAAAGACTTCACAAAGTACTGCAGTCTTAGCAGTGTCTGAAAATAAAGTGGAATTTGACTGGACTAGTCCCATATGAGTAAAATGTTATCAGTAGAAGGGGTTACAGATGGAAAATTAGAACAAGACTAGAAACACATGTAGCCATCTTGTTTGATAAGACACAGACTACGCAGGAAATGGTATGTTCAGCAGTTCAATTGTTTATTGTATTCATTGCTACAGGAATGTGTTTGCAGAGCTGTTGCCTGGCACCAAATGGAGGGATACACTTAACCGATCCATTTCCTTACAGTGATAGGAGGGATGCACATGCAGACACACAGACTCATGGGAGGGATTTATGAAGTATGCTGTCGAGATGGGTTCAGTTTCCGTGAAGTACATACCATGTTTCATAAACATTTCTTCAGGCATTCAAAAGTTATTAAGGGAGGGTTTGTGGTCACATAGAATGGAGATCACATAAGTCTATGTTAGGAAATTGGGCTAAAAAATTGACAATTTTCTCTATTTTCCAGTGCATTGTGATCTTTTAAAAATAATTGCATGTGTTAAATGTACAGATAATGATGTTGAAAGCAAGATGTCACAGTGTAAAAGCATTGCTCTAGGTCCTTTGCCATTGTATAGATGTAAAGTGAGGCAGTCATAGCTAATGCATGTTCAGAATTGCTGGGCGTTCTTCCTTCCTCTGACCAGTCATGTGCTATGTTAGCTTTATTTTGCAGGTCTTATTTTGTTTCCATTTAGTCAATGGTACAAATTTATTGTAGTATAAATAATAAACTTCTTGTTTGAAGCAGGATGTGTAATGATTTGATACCAGTTAACCCACATGTATGGAGTTGTCAGTTCTCAAACAAGTCATGAAATAAAATATGTATAATATGTAAATAAATGTAAATATGCAAAAAGTGAAGACTGAAATATTATCATATGAGAAAATAATAACAGTGTTGCGAGATGAATTATACAATAAAGAGCTTCTTAATAAGACAGAATCATCGGAACAAAAATATTACTCTGTTGATGATTTTAAAGTTCAGCCAGTAAAAGAAGATTGGGTACAAGTAGTTACTAAAAACTGCAGGGAAAATAATGACTGTAACAGTAACCTCAAAAATGAAGAAACAATTAATATGTCAACTAAGGATGTGAAAATTCAGAATCCAAGCAACTATCTGCAAACAAGGAAGAGGAACCGGTTAGTGAAAAGTATGGGGATAAGTAAACATAAAGTATTGATAAGTGGGGACAGTCATGCCAAAAAATGTGCAACAGAACTTCAATATAATCTTGATCGCAGGTATGAAGTTTCTGGTTTTGTTAAATCAGGAGCTGTTACTAGTGCGATCATTAAAACTGCAGAAAAGGAAGTATCTACACTCAAGTGTAATGATGTGATTTTGTGGGGAGGAGCTAATGATATCAGTAGAAACAATACTAAAGAAGCTCTAAAGAATTTATCTAATTTCATGAATGCGAACAAGAAGGTAAATACAGGATTATTAAAAAATAATGAACCGATTTTATTACGCAGTATTTTATTAAAGGAAAGTAATACAAAACTCCAGCCAAATCACAAGTATTTTACTCACAATCAACTTTTATTTCCTGTCTTACGAGTATTCAGTGTGGCCACCACCAGCAGCACGGGCAACATCAGTGTGATAAGAGAATTCCTCCCAGGCGCATATCAGCATATCACAATGCACTGAGTTAATCGCTGTTGTTATTCGATGTTTAAGGTCATCGAGGTTAGTGGGTAGCAGTGGAACATAAACGTGATCTTTTACATATCCCCACAAGAAGAAATCACACACGGTGAGGTCTGGGGATCTCGCAGGCCCCTTCCGACCAATCCATCGCTGGTGCACTTTTTCGTTTAAAAAAGCTCGGACCATCAGGTGCCAATGGGGCGGTGCTCCATCTTGTTGAAAAATGAAGTCATGCGAATCTGCTTGCAGTGAAGTGAAGAGCCAGTTTTGGAGCATATCGAGATAGGTTTGTCCTGTAACGGTGTTTCCTTCAAAGAAAAAGGGACCATAAACCTTGTCCTGAGACACAGCACAGAAGACGTTCACCTTAGGGGAATCTCTTTCGTGCTCATCTGTTTCATGTGGGTCGTCTGTTCCCCAAATATGCACATTGTGACGATTGACTGTGCTGCTCAAGTGAAAAGTTGCTTCATCACTAAAAATTAAATGTGAAATGAAGGTTTTGTCTTCCATCATCTCCAGCATCGAATCACAAAATTCCATCCCCTTCCTTTTGTCATCATTTGTAAGTGCCTGAACGAGCTGCAGTCTGTATGGTTTCAAATGTAGACCTACTGTTAGCACACTCCAGACAGTGGATTGAGGGATCACAAACTCACAGCTAGCTCGATTTGTTGACTTCCGCGGGCTCCTCTCAAACGCAGCACAGATTCTCACCACATGTTCCTCCGAGACTCGTGGTCATCCCGGACTTTTTCCTTTACACAGACACCCACTCTCTTGAAACTGTCAAAACCACCGTCAAATGTTCTTAGGACAGGGCGGATTAATGCCGAATCACCTTCGAAAAGCACGCTGCACCATGACAACCGAATTTGTTTTCGCGAACTCGAGAACGCAGAACGCCTTTTTCTGAGGACTCGTCATTCCAAGGGTAAATGAACAACTGAACGTTGCTGGAAGAACGACGCGGCTTCAGCGCCCCTGTAGCAGCCATTCACAACTTAGATAATTCCTCTTTCAAATGGTTACTAACTCATTCCATGACAATGCTTGAGAACTGAAGCAATGCGTCATGAAATTGGTTCATTCTTTTTTAGTAACCCTGTATTGTTCTAATTAACTCACTACTTAGACATGTTCTTTTGCTTTCATCTTGTGTCAGTAATGAAGTAGCTAAATTTAATAGGCAACCAAAGAAAATAGTTGAGTTTTAGAAGTGAAATTACAAAGGAAACATTTCACTAGACATGGTCAAAATTTAAATTATAGTGGTAAAGAGCTAGTCTCCTTAGAGTTGGCCAAGTCAGTTGAACAGCTTTTAAATGATATGAAAACTGCTCCTATACAAATTCAATGAAAGATAATAATCTGGATGATCTTAACCTGGATATACAT